TAAAAGAATGTGCTTCAATCTCTACTGTAGTTGAGTTTTGTCAGGCTAATTATTTGATCTTCAGAAACCACATAATTATTAGATAAAGCAGAAAAATACTTGGATTTAAATTGTAGGATAGTTTAAAATCTACACAGCATCATCACCATCATGAATGTTTGTTTCTTCAGCCACTCAAGAAAGACATGTTCGGGGTTTGCAGGTTAGCTCAGTTGTTTAAAGCGCCTACCTGGGCATACTCAGGTGCAGGGGACCGTGGTTGGATTCCCAGCTCCACAACCACATCAGACCCACCCTTAAGGCAGCCTGAGCTAGCCAAAAAAAAAAATCCTTCTCCAGTTTTTAAGGCTGGCCAGATAGCTCAGCAGACTAAAGAGCCTGCTTGAGTAGAGCACAGAGGCTGGGGTTCAATCCCCAACATTCCGTGCCGGCCTTGCCCCTGGGGTGCACTGAGATGGAGATTGAGACTGGGCATGGTAGTGTGCGCCTGTATTCCCACTGGTTGGGAGGCTGAAAACAGGAGAATCACTACGAGTCCAATCTGTACAAGACCCTGTACACCCTGTAGACCCTGTCCTAAATTCATAAAATAAAAAAGAAAAGTATTATTAGAAGTATGATTTATCCAATTATAGCTTAGAAGCCTGTGTATTTAGCATGGATGTATCTCTTGTGTAGTGATCGATGACAAGTTCTAATATGTAACTTGTGATTCTTCCAAACTTTCTTGACTCGTCTCTACTTATTCACACTTACTGAAGTAGGAGATTAGTATCCATAATTTCCCTTCATGAAAACAGGTTTTAGGGAAAATCATTAAATAATTAATTTTTCAAATAATGTTTTAAATTTACAAAAATCATATTGAAACTGTCAGAGACATTGCCATTAGATCAATCCTGGTGTGGTGTTAGTCTGCTGATCTTAAGAGAGTGATACTTAATACCTGTTCTAGATTTGCCTTGTATTTAACATTTTGCTTTTTATTTATTTTTTATTTATTTATTATATTTTTAGAGAAGGGTCTACAGGGTGTTCAGGGTCTCACTACTAGATCAGACTCATAGTGATTTACCTGTATATAGCCTCCAAGAACTGGGATTATAGGCATGCACTACCACGCCCAGTCTCAATTGCAGTCTTAATGTGCCCTGGGGATGGGGCTGGCATGGCAGGCCTGAGGATCGAGCCCCTGGCCCCTGCGCCTGCTTGCATCCACTTTAATCTACTGATTGTATTTAACATTTTAAAGGTTGTCTTACAATCCATAAGAAGCAATGAAACTTTTTTCCTTAACTATAAAGTAAACCTCAATTCAAAAGGAAATAATTGTGATTTACAGAAGTATTTGTCTACTGTAGAGAAATACACGTGTGTCATCACACTTTTAACATTTGTTTCACTGATGTTATCCCTAGACCTGAAATTACTTAATTCTTAAAGTGAAGACTTTCTCTAGAAGGTTGCACTCCTTTTAGGAGATTGGCTTCTCCTTAACTTCATGTGAGACACCAGAGGCACTGATCTTCAAGTGATCGCAAGCATGGTACTTTGCTGCAGGACAGACTAGGAAACAGCTCTGGGAGATAGTGCAGTCAGTGGGTAGTTTTCTTTCCTCTTTGTTACATCATTCAGTTCTTTTAACTTGTTAAATGTTTATACATGTTCCATAGTTTGTTTTTCTTCCTGTACTCTATTTCCTTCTTGTTGATTAACTTAATATTATAAGTTAAAGGATCTCATTAGGGTAAGCTACTAATATTCACCTCAGTATGAAAACTTGTTTTTACTTATGACACCAAAGTACAAGTAAGTTGAGTTAAGCAGTTTGATAATTATTGTAATACTATTTGGAGTTAAAAGTGTAGTACAATCCTGCCAAACAAAAATTATCTTTATTTTACTTGGCTTTTTAAATATGTGAATATAAAGCTTCATCTGCATGAATAAGTGTCACCTCTATTACCAAGAGTAATTTTGTGAACATTAGCTATCTGTGGCTCTATTGATCTGCATTAATTTGTGAAAGAAAAGCAAGACTGCTGAAGTCTTCTCAATGTTTTTAGCATTTTGTAATAGGAGTTGTTTTTATCTAATGATTTGAAGTGCTCTTGTCCAGTCTTAAGTCAGAAAAATGTGACTGTCTCAGGGGAACATGTTACACTCTACCATATTAAAACCAATTCTGTTGTTTTTTGTTTGTGTAGAATCATTCACTTGCTTTAACATGATTGAGTTCAGCACAGAGTGTTCTAATTTACCAATTTTCAAGATTGAAATTACATTTCCTTATTTGCCTTGCTATTATGCAAACAATGGAAATGTTCTTACTGCTATTATGTTGTTTCTCAGAGCACTTAACATCTTTTATTCCATTTTCATTTTGTGTTTTATGTATTCCATCAGTACTTCAGTAATGACATGCTGTCCTATTTTTAGAGCAGTAATTTTGCTAACAAGTTACTTTTATTTTGAATGAACTGTGTCATCACCATGGAAATAGTATTTCACTAGAAATTCTAGTTGATAAAGCTTAACTGTTTAAACATGTTTCACTCCAGTATCTTGTTAGATCATTTTTGAAGCTAGGATTCTTCTCAGTTGTGACTGTTAGTATCCATTTTTTATTTATATTTACTGCATAAAATGCTTTCCCACAATTTTGCTGTTTTCACATGAGTGACGTACAAAGTGTAGATGGTGTATGAGGATGAGAAACTCAGGAATTTAAAAATTTAAAAATGTCACTGATATTCTTCATCTGTAGTATGAGGGGCCCTACAGGAAAGACACTATTAACAGGTTGAAATATAAGATATTCTTTATATGTGTATTTATTAACTCTGTTCTTTAAACTGCCTGTTTTATACCCCCATTTTCTACACTGCAGTAATTTCAACTGAAAGGATCTGATTTAAAGTAGCTTGTTCTTTCTATGATAGAATAGGAATAAAGGACAGAAAGATACTTCTATTTGTGTGAAAAAGAAAGCTATACTTAGTTTTATAAGCTTTCACATGCTATCCCATGTTGACTTTTTATTTTAAAGAGGGAAAAATAAGACAACATAAACATATTTATTTACAAAAATAAAGACAACATGGAACAATAAAAATGATACAGAATTTCAAAACAAGAACAGAAAATGAACAATGGTTAGGCATTAACATATATTGCTGTTTGGAGGGAAATGATAATTTGAAAAAATATTTTCTGAATATGCCAAATAATAATTTCAATTCTAAAATATAGTGCATTATTTTCCCTTTGAGAAAACAGGTTAAAAAAAGGGTGATGATTCTGAAAAATCTTTAAGCCTTAATTCTTAACCAAATGACCGTTTAAATATTTCCCAAAAAAATCTGTAATACTTACTATTTTCCCATTTTTCTAATCTCCACTTCATATTTGCCTATTGTGAAACATCGTAAGTACTTTATTATCTTGTTCATTTATGTGCAGATGAGCCTTTTTAAATCATTGACTTAATGGTCTGAATCAAACACTCATACTCTAACCCCAGTATCTATTTGCTTGATTTTCAATCACAAAAGTTCTAGTTATGTAAAAAAAAGTTGATATTCTAGTGTGCTTTTGATATTTTTTACTTACTATTTCTTTGTGGTAAAACACGCCTCTTACTGAATGAGAAACCCTTCTAAATATGTAAAAACTTTCCCTGTTATTTATGATGCTTTAGGGAGTCACTCACTCAGTCACGTATTTCATCACTAAGTGAAGTAGCCCAAAGAATAGATTAAACTGGATCAGTTAGCCTGATTGGAAGTTCAGAATACAAACAAAATAATTCCATTTTCAGAAAAGATAAAGTCTTTAAGACTTTTAATGGAGGAAGATAATGTTCAAAATGGAATACCCTTCTCTGACATAACTAAACAAAAAAAGGGAATACAAATGAACGACCATTTTGTATCTTTATATTCAAAATAGGATATGCAGCTACTTTCTCTTAATTCAATGAATAGAAAAATTTGTTCTAATAGTGTTTGTGGACAGGATATCATATCTGCATCTTGTACAATGAATAACCACTAAGACAACAATATGCAATGTATTAATTATTGAAACTGCCCTACTAATTGGTTTTGAAACTATCTCATTGCTATTTGTTTCTCAATAAAATTATTTTTAAAAATGAAAAAAAAAAAAAAAAAAAGAAAGCTATACTTGTTGTAGCTTCTACATTAATGTTTTTAAAAATACAGTCCATTAATAAAGTAACACCAGAATGTTAAGACTGCTCCAGAATTTAAAATTATGTTTATTCCAGGCTTACATATTTAAACAGGATTGCACCTGTAATCCCATCACTTCGGAGGCTGGGGTTGGAGGAGTGCAAGTTTAAGATCAGCCTGGAACAGAGTGAATTTGAAGGCAACCTGAGCTAAAAGTGAGACCTTATCTCAAAAAAAAGAAGTATGGTGTTGGTGTTGTGTTGTATTTTGCTTTATTGGAAACAACCAAACACCAAAAAACTTAGTCATAAATTCATAAGGCCAAAAATGGACCTTTCTATGTGGCTATGATAAAGATGATTAGGTAGCTATACCTAGACAGATCAAAAAAGACAACTGTGTGTGTGTGTGTGTGTGTGTGTGTGTGTGTGTGTGTGTATTTATGTGCATGTATATATTCATCTTTAAAAGAAAATTTGCTTATGCCAGTATAAATATAAAATGTATAAAGATTTTTCTAACAGGACGTCCAAGGACCTTAATGTGATTTCTTTTTATATATTTAAAATATCAATTATATACATCTACTGGTTCTGTTAAACCAATAAGCTTTATTAAAAATATGCACATTTGTATGTAAAAAAAGCTTGGAGGAATACCTTTTTACATTTTAGATCTGTATTTTGTCCTCAGAAATATTAGGAATGGCAATAAGAATTGTGTGTTGATCATTTTCCATGAGAAAATGTTGTGACTCTTAAACTCAGAAAATGGTTATTTAAACCAGGATTACTTTTTTCATAGGATTTCCACTTAAACAGAGTAAATTTGGAAGAATCTTCAGGAGTGGAAAACTGTCCAGCTGGTGCTAGACCAAAGAGAAAAAACAAGAAGTCTTATGATTTAACCCCAGTTGATAAATTTTGGCGAAAACATAAAGGAAGGTAAATAAAAAAAAAAAATTACTAAGGTTTTCCCTTAAGGAGAAACAAGATACTATCTAACCTAAGTGAATTTGAGAAAAATATCAAAAGGTTATAAAGGTTCATTCATATAATAAGTGGCAGCTACAATTAAATAGCCCATAGATGTGTATCTTTATTGCTTGTTTTCTTCCTGATGCCTGTGGTTTTTGTTAGTTTTTATTTTGTCAGGGCTACTTCTCTTCTTTTCTTCCTTTTTTTTTTTTCTTTTTTTTCTTTTTGTACTGGGAATCAATTTCAGGACCTGATACCTCCCAGTCATTGTGCCACTGAGCTACATCCCCGGCCCTACTTGTCTTTTCAATAAATTTATCCTGTTAGATTTTATGAATTTTTTTTCTGTTTCTGACTTCACTGGCCCTTACAAAGCCATTAATTTCCTTTATATTTTTTTTTTCCATGTTCTACCAAGGCTGAAGTCCAGGGCCTTCACACTAATCTACATGCGCCCCCCCCCCCCGCCCCCTTTTTATTTTTTTTTGGAGATAGCCTTAAACTATATTGCCCATACAGGGCTCAAACTTTCCTTAGAATGTTGAGATCACAGCTGAGCACCACACTCATGGCTTTTACCTTTTCTTTAAATAAGTTTTTATGATAGAGAACTTTGGCATGAGATTTTTCCCTTTGGTTCCTTGATTGTCTTCACTAACACATACTAATGCAGGGCTGTCATTCATGTCTCTCTCAGGTGGCTGGTTGATGTGGATTCAGTCATTCCTAACAGCTTGCACTAGCAGTAGCACATGCATGGCTGTCCCAAGGGGTGGCTTATACCACTTCTCAGGACATCTTTGATTACAGTAATGTAAACAAAGGTATTGATTTAGCAGACCATGTGTCATCCTACTATAGTTCTTTAAGGAAAATATTAAATGGTGTAAAAAATTATAATACAGCTAATTTGTGGTACAACTGTTGTAAATGCATACTATACATACCAGCAATGGGGTATGTCTAAAATTTCCATGCTAAAATTTAGAAAATTAATTATGGATAACTATTCACATATATGAAGACATTTCTTTTAATTTATTGAAATAATTTGATTATTATGATTTAATTGGTGTGACTATTATTAATATTTTTATTTTAAGAGTAATTATTCAAATTCAAGGAACTAAATGAGTTCAGACTTAACCCATTTGTAGACTTTCTATTCATTTTATTAGTAAAAAGTATTAAAAGCAATTAAATCCATTTGTACCACCAATGGTACAAGCTGCCAGATGAGAGTCATTTCTGATGGTTCAAACTTGCAGGTACATGTTAAGCCTCATATTATATATCCATCCATACATACATGGATTACATAAGCCTGAAGCCCAGAGATTTCTTCCACGTTTATTAGAAATTATGAATGAAAAACTTGTAGTGATATGCCATATATTTGTTGTAGGCAGATAAACACATTCCATGTGTTGTTAAATGTTAGGAGTACTATAACCACTAAGAAGATAACAATATACAATGTATTGAAACTGTCCTATTAGTTTTGAAACTGTCTCACTGCTATATGTTTCTCAATAAAATTAATAAAAATGTAAGGAGTATTTGATAGGATTAGTAATTGCTATAGAAGTTATCTAGTAGTCATGATGGTTAAAGAAACAAAATATTTCTTGATGAAAACAATGCTCTTTATCAATTATAGGAATATTAATATTTGAAATAAATGTGGAGATAGATATATCTGCATATTTTTTATAGCTGTGTTTGGGGCTTCTTTTAACATTTATGTTTAAAAAGAAATAAGATACAGAGCCAGGGAGATAGCTCAGCAGCATATGCACCTGCCTGACAAGTGCCTGAATTCATTTCCCGGTACCAAAAAAAGAACTAGAATCCAAACTTGACTAAACATGCTAGAGTTTGGTGTTTTCTTTTTGTTTGTTTTTTGTTTTGTTTTCATATTTACAGCTTTATTTTTAGAAATCATATTGTTATAATGAAGTTTTTATTTTCTGCAGAGAAAAGTTACTGTCTCTGACTGTGGCAATTTTGGGTACTACTATAACTTATTTTACTTTTAATAATATCCCTTTTGTACTCTATAGTCTACATTTTCCTCCACAGTGATGAAGTAAGACACATTGAAATTCGTTGGGAAGGCATTATTGATACAAGATGTGGGATATTTTAAAATGGACATTCGCATCATAGTCGAGACAGAATCTAACTAAAGCCATCTCCACAACAATGACCCTAATTGATTTTCAACCTATAATACAAAAAAAAAAAGAAAAGAAACATGAGAAAACAATGCAACAAGATGCAGCCAAAAAGTTTTATCCCCAAAACTGATCTCATTGACAATTGAGGTAGATGAAGTTAAAGACAAAAATATTTACAAACCAAATGACCAAGGTGTTCTAAGAAACCAAACATGAAACACATAAGCAAATTCATAAGATAACTAGTGAGCTTACGGAGGATTTCATTAAATGAGTATAGGATTTTACTAATAAGATGTTTGAGCTTACAGAAGAAGTAAACTAACTGAGTTAAACATTATTAAGATGTGTTATATACATGTACCAATTTCCCATGAGGAATGTAAATATTATATACCAGACACATGTACTAATAAAATTTACATTTTTTACATTGAAAAATATGAATAACTTTTGGTAAAGAATTCAAAATTATAAAGAAAACAAACAAAATTTTCTATTGAAAAATTCAATAGAAAGCACAGGTAGCAGATTCGATCAATATGAAGACAGTGTCAGCCACTGAAGACAAGTTGGATATAATAAATCATAAAAGCTCAGCAAACTCCTAAAAATGACGTGATATCATACTGTCTTGATCCAACAGGTGTTAGATGACTCAAAATAAATCCCTCAGAATCCTAGAAATAAAAGAAAAATTAGAAGATGTACTCAGCAGGTTTAAAAATGTATTCACTGAAATCATGGCAGAAAGTTTCCAAATCTACGAGAAGGCTTCAATACTTAAGTGTACAAGAGGCATATAGAACTGCAGATAGTCATGGCTGGTCACGGCCACAAAACAAAATTAACTACCCCACATCAGAATCAAACTTCCAGAAATTCAACAAAATGAGAGAATACTAATAACTATCAGGGAAATGAGTAGTCTATGAAGGTAAGCCTACCAGAGTAACAGACTTTTCAGCACAAACTTTAAATGCCAGGAGAGCTTAAAGTGTTTTGAGCCCTAAAAGGAAGCGGTTGTCAACCTAGACTTCTATATCCTGTACATTTAGCCTTCAGAACTGACAGAAAGTAAAGACTTTTCACAACAAAGTTGTAAAGAAATACATGACCACTAAACCAGCATTACAGAAAACATGTCGAGAATCCTGGACCGAGATGATGCCACCAGCTCCAAACATCTGTAAGGAAAATGTTCTTCTGATTAGAGGGGTGGTTAAAGGGAAAAAAATAAAGGCATTAGTGCTGCAAAAGTAATGTGATGACAAGACTTAGTAAATACCTTATAATAAAAACTCTCAATGTCAATGGTTTTATTTCTCCAAAAGACAGGGACTAGGGGCTGGAGAGATGGCTCAGTGGTCTAAAGCACCTACTTGGAACAAGCTTAGCAAAGGCATCAGGGACCGCGGTTCGATCCCCCAGCACCACATGCCAGCCAGCCCCGCCCCCTGGTGGGCTGAGCTGGCCACACACACCTCTCTCTCTCTCTCT